AAAGAGAGAGAGCACAAGAGTGGGGAGGGTCAGAGGGAGAAGCAGACTCCCTGCTGAGCAGGGAGCCCGATGCGGGACTCGATCCTGGGACTCCGGGATCATGACCTGAGCCAAAGGCAGTCGCTTAACCAACTGAGCCACCCAGGCGCCCCTAGCCAAAGCAATTCTGAAAAAGAAAAACAAAACTGGAGGCATCATGAATCCGGATTTCAAGCTCTATTACAAAGCTGTAATCATCAAGACAGTATGGTACTGGCACAAAAACAGACACATAGATCAATGGAACAGAATAAAGAACCCAGAAATGGACCCTCAACTATATGGTCAACTAATCTTCGACAAAGAAGGAAAGAAAATCCAATGGAAAAAAACACAGTCTCTTCAACAAACGGTGTTGGGAAAAGTGGACAGCAACCTGTGGAAGAATGAAACTGAACCACTTTCTTACACTATACACAAAAGTAGACTCAAAGTGGTTGAAAGACCTAAATGTGAGACAGGAAACCAGCAAAATCCTAGAGGAGAACACAGGCAGCAACAACCTCTTCAACCAACCTCGGCCATAGCAACTTATTAGACAAGTCACTGGAAGCAAGGGAAACAAAAGCAAAAATGAACTAATGGGACTTCATCAAGATAAAAAGCTTCTGCACAGCAAAGGAAACAATCAACAAAACTAAAAGGCAGCCTGCAAAATGGGAGAAGATATTTGCGAACAACGTATCTGATAAAGGGTTAGTATCCAAAATCTATAAAGAATTTACCAAACTCAACACCCAAAAAATAAAGAACCCAGTTAAGAAATGGGCAGAAGACATGAATAGACACTTTTCCAAAGACACCCAAATGACTAATAGATACATGAAAAGATACTCAACATCACTCATCATCAGGGGAATACAAATCAAAACCATGATGAGATACCACCTCACACCTGTCAGAATGGCTAAAATTAACAACACAAGGCAGACGCTTAACCAACTGAGCCACCCAGGTGCCCGCATAAGTGACTCTTAATGATAGAAAACAAACAGGGTTGATGGAGGGAGGTGCATGGGGGATGGACTAGATGGGTGATGAGTATTAAGGAGGGCATTTGTGATGAGCACGGGGTGTTGTATGTAAGTGATGAATCACTGAATTCTATTCCAGAAACCAATATGGCATTGTATGTTAACTAAAAATTTAAATAAACTTAAAAAAAAAAAAGAATATAGTAGGACAATTTTTTTAAATGGGAGACTGCTTACTTGAAACCAGAAGAAAAATGTGATTTTGAAGGTAGATACATAAATCTAAAATATTTTGAATTGTTCCTAGAAGTTCCAGTGACTTCTGTGTAATATATGCATAGTGGAAAAAACACACTTCTGGTCAAAAGAAAACATTTTTAATGACCTTATTAAACATTGGGACAGAGATCAGAGAAGGATCTTTTCCAAGGATGATCAAGTTAACTTTTAAGCAAAAGATCAGCAGAGATCAGGGCATACTGGGGACAAACATAACTTCAGGTGTCTTCTGAGAACCAACCCATTCTTCTTTCTCCGAGAATGATCCAACCCCTCTCCTCAGAGGGGTTTGTACTGTGGATCTTGTGCCTCTGGTCACAGTACATCAGACTGGGATGGACACCTGCCCCAAGTTTGGGCATTCATTTGTTTTTCCAAGAATTTAAAATTGTGATTGGGAAATAGTGTTGGTGGGTGGGTAGAGCTGAGGTGATGCACAAAATCAGGAGCTACAGGTGGATGTGTTAGCTGAAAAGGATAGTCCTCAGAGGCAGAATAATATGGTTAATGTGGCTAACATGCAAAGGGACAACACAGGCCATATGGCCCAGAGAGAGAGCAAGAAAGCTGCTCTGGATTCTACTGGCTTTTCAGTTCTGAATTCTGTTCCCTGTAAGGCTTGGCTAAAACCCACCCTTGGGTTCAGGGCACCACTCCTATGTCTTTATTGTAAATATCCTCTCCTTATATCTGTGATCATCTTAAGAGGGTTTCTGTTACTGGCAAACAAAAGCCTTGACTAGGACAATCCTCCCCCACTTCCAACAGGGTCCTCTGGCCATTCTTTCAACTTATTCTCCCTTGGGAAATCCACAGTGTCTTATGATCTCTTGGTTTCTTTCTTCTCTAGGACCAAATTCTCATAGTGCCAAATCCCATTTTGTCCCTACTTACTTGTATCTTCCTCAGCTTTTATGCCTAAAAGACCCAGGTTCTCCAGAAACCCTTCCTGGACCACTTCCAACCTCAGGGATCCCCCTCCTTCCAATAGCATCAGGCTCTGTCAGTGCATCCCAGTTATCAGACCACAGTCTAAGTCCAGGATGGCTGCATCAGCATCATCTGGAGCTTGTTAAAAATTGCAGACTGCTACCACTCTCCCCACCCCCCAAGGTTCTAATTCAGTAGATCTGGGTGAAGCCTGTACTTTTTTTAAAGGCTCCCAAGTGATTCTCATGTACATTTCAGTTTGAAAACCACTAAGAGATACCCACCTGAACTCTCTCTAAAACTGTGACCAGGTCTTCTACTGATATGATTGACCCCAGGTTAAGGAAGTAATCCTCTTTTTTTTTTTAAGAGATTTTTTTTTTAATTTTATTTGTCAGAGAGAGAGAGAATGCACAAGCAGGGGAAGAGGCAGGTAGAGGGAGAAGCAGGCTCCCCGTGAAGCAAGGAGCCCAATACGGGACTCGATCCCAGGACCCCGGGATCATGACCCGAGCCAAAGGCAGATGCTTGACCTACTGAGCCACCCAGGTGTCTCAGGAAGTAACCCTCTTATCCAAGCCTTGGACCTCTCTTTGTCATGCCTGGGACTCTAGGGGATGTAGAAAAAGGAGACGACACTGTAAATCATGGCTGGATACATATGGCTTCTTCATTACAAAGTAAATCTGGACAAGAGCAGAATTTCCATGAACGTTTCCTCTCTTGAAAACTCCTTTGGGGGCAAATCTGAATTCAGTAAGTAAATTTCATGAAGTCCTTGTGAAATGGCCCATTCACAACTAACACACAATGGATAGCTCAAATGGAACAAGACATAGCTGAATTGGCCTGAGGATGGCTGCCAGTCCCCAGTATGAAATAGTCCTGCTCAATGGCCATCACCTGGAATCCCCTCTTCTAGGTTCCTAGCATCCCTCACACCCTGGGAGAACTGGCCAGGACCTGGTAGGAAGGATACAGTACAAACACCATTTACTGCTGCTAGCCAGAGCTTTGGTTAGAGCAAGAAAGGGGTGTGTGTGTGTGTTGGGGGTGAGAAGGGGAGCTAGTTGCTGCCCCACAAGTCCTGCGATGAGTACCAGGTCTAAGAGAGGAGACCTATAGCACAGGGTTTGATCCCATCCAAAGTCCCCGCAGTAGGGATATACTTAGTAGACTGAGGCACTGAGTATGCAAGGGCTGACAGAGACTTGCAATGAATCCATAGAGCGTCTCCCACAATCTTTCTTTCTTAGAAGGTTCATTACCTAAAGTGGTAAAAAGCATATGAACAAGGTTGTTCAAGCTCACATTGCTAGGATCCTGTCTCTGATCGCCCACCTTCCCAAAACCTCACCCCCTCATCACCTCTGCTCTTCTATTCTCTGCCTGCTACTTGTCTATGTCACCCCTCCCTGACCCCAGTGCTCCCCAAAGAATGATCCTCCACCCCATCCTCTTCAGAGCCACCCACTCTCCTGCCCTCAGACACCTGGGGCCTCCGTACCTGCGGGCTCTGGACAAGCATGTGCCTCTGATGATGAGGATGGTGCCCACAAGGAAGCCCACCAGGCCGAGAGCCAGGCCGAGGGCACAGATCAGAGTCTCGGTGGTGTCTGGCACTGGGATAGGCACCTGGGGCTCTTGGGGGAGAGAAGAAGGGTCAGGGGGGTCCAATGAAAGGAAACATGGGTCTGTGGAGAGTGAGCTGGGGAGGGGCTCCTACCCCAGTGCCTGAGGAGCGGCTCATCCAGACCCCAGTGCTCCACCTTGCAGTCATACATGTCGTCTGCAGAGGGCACGAAGGTCAGGTAGCAGAACTTGCGGAACAGATGGTCAGGCTGGGAATAGAAGCTGGTCTGGGCCACCCCCTCGCTGATTATTTGACCGTTGCGCAGCCAGGTGATATTGATCACAGGAGGGAAGATGTTGTCCACAATGCAGATGAGAATGTTGGGCTGGCCCAGCTCCACTCGAAACTTGGGGAGTACAGTCACCCTCGGAGGCACTAGGAAGAATGAGGCCCTGAAGCCCAAAGGCTCATCCCTGCAGTTGGGCCTGATTAGGACTGGGATTGTGGGACGTTTCCTTCTATTTAGCCATTTGCAGGCAGGGGATGCTCTGGGACCTAACAGGTGGAGGGGGGCGGAGGGGGGCAGAGGGAGAAGAGGCTGAGAGGGGGAGTGGGGGCACCAGGGGCTCCTGTATCTGACAGGTCTGTGACGGGGCATCCAAGTGGAAGGGCCAGTCCTCAAGAGGGAAGAGGAGGAAGAGGGTGCTGAAGGGGTCTGGGAAGATCTAGAGCCTCCTGGAAAAGAAAGGGGCTGAATACAATGGTCACAGGGGCTGAGAGAAAGGTGTGCCAGAGTAGATGGAGGCCTGTGAGGTGGGAAGAAGCTGCTCTGGGTCCCTCCTGCCTAACACAGGGTAGGGGAGGGAGCAAGGAGAGGAGGGTACCGTTGGTGGCTCTGGTGCGGTTGGAGCGTTCCACCAAGACATCCAGATGGGCTTTGATCACTGCGATGCTGGCCAGCCCATTCTGTGGGTCAAAGTGGGCGAAGTTGCCAAACTCAGGCAAACGCCACACGGCCTCCCTCTTCTTCAGTTCCACGGAGAACAGCTGTTCCCCATCAAATTCATGGGCAAACTGACCCGAGGCACCGTAGGTTTGGTAGAAGGCTGGTCCATAGGAGCCCATGTGATCAGCTGTATTGGGTGAGTTCAGGGTCAGGGACAGAAAAGAAAATGTATCAATCTCATCGAAAGCATGTGATATATTGAATCTCTGAGCCTGTGCCCCATCCTGGGTTCTCCGTGGGGACGGAGTTGACTTGTTGAGCTGGTCCTTGGACAGTGGAAGGGTTGCTGGGGAGTAGAAGGGAGAGGACAGAGGGAAACAGGCACAGGCCCAACACACTGGCAGGAACAGAGACACGAGTGCAGTCTGGTATACCAGGTCGGGAAGAAGAGAGGCTTCCTAAAATCATGCTTGGGATCCCCAAAGTTAAGTGGTAGCCATGATCAGCAGCTCTAGCTGTGCTATGAGGTCCTGTGTGTGAGATGAGTGGTATGAGGGGCTGGGATGAGGGAAGATTATTAAGGATGGGAGCATAAGTGGAGCCTGGGGCACAGAGACGCAGTGTAGGTGGGCGTGAGGGGAGGATAGGTGACGGCTGACAGAAGTAAGCATTAAGATCTGTGACAAAGACCAAGCAGATAGGAAAGGCAGCCTGAGGTATGGCAGAAAGCACTGGAAAAGGAGCCCGAAGTTCAAGTCAAGTTTATGCTGCAACTCTTTCACCTCAGATTATGATCAAACTTGTGTCTTTTCATAACTGAGGCTCATTTTTTTTTGGAAATTTGGGTTAGACTTTAATTGGTAAGTGATCTTTAGAATTCTATGAAATTATATGTTCAACAGCCGTTAAGGGACTACTATATGCCCAGCATGACGCCAGGCCCCAGGGAAATACAGATGAACCAGCTATAGATCCCTCACACAAGAAGCTCATGTCTAGAGCAGGCTAAAGACAGATAAACAGTTAACTATCCACATGGTGGTAAATACTGCAATAAAACTGGACTTGAATGGGCACACTCCAAGCCAGGAAGTGGCAGAGAAATCACTGTGCTGGGCAGCAGCAGGATGGAGGTTTGGGTCTCAGAAAGAAGGAAGGAATTGAGGAGGCACCTGAACCTAAAAGAGTTTGAACCTGTAGCCCGCATGGCTGGCCTGGGCTGCATCTGTATATTTTAGGTCCGCAATGGACGTGATAGACGTGAGAGAGATTGGGGCTCTCTTGGTAAAGGAAGTTGCCCATTAACCAGAGAAGGAGAACAATCTATGTTCTATACTGTCTCTCGTGTAACACTAAATCTCCTCTCCTCACCCGATCCCCCTCCGCACTCACCCTTGATGGCCCCAGTTTCGTGGGGGCTCAGGAGTCTCATCAAGGTGTGGAGTCCCAGGACAAGCCCCCCACTGAGGACCATTGCCCTGGTGCTTTAACCAAGTAATTCTGGGTGTGGGGCCGCCCGCCGCAGGAGGTAAAGGAAAGAGGAAGGACTCTAGGGATGGGGAAGACCCCAGCTGTATTCAGCCAACCAGAGACATCATCTGAGTTTACGTAGCTGTTGCTGGGTAAAGTAGTAAGGAGCCTAGGTGGAAGGTGGAAGAATGCACTGGGCCTTCATTGTACCAGGGAGGCCTGGTCCACAGGAGAGTCAAAAGGAGGTTTCTGTGTGGGAGGTGTCAGGGGCTTAAATCAACCATTACTACAAACTCCAAGAAGAGATCCCCTGAAGGGAGAGAAAAGGCCATCAGAGAACCAAAATAGAGAAGCCTCTATTTTGATCTGTGGTGTAGAGAATCCCAGTCTCCCTGTAAGTTTCTACAGACAAATTTGGAGCCAAATAATAATATAAACTGTACTGAGAAACTTTAAAAAGGAGATCGTGGATACACAGTAGAATTAAAATCCTTTAAATCTTTAGATCGCTTTGGAAAATATTACTTTATTTCATTGTGTGAGAAAAAATGTGTGATTGTCAGAGATGTTTAGAGTAAGGAAGAACTGTAAGGAGCCTTAGCGGACTGTTCTAAGGAGCACAGAGGGTGCTGGATAATATCCATTTGTCCCTCCAGGCCCTCTGGGCACCCTTCTCCATGCTGCTTGCAGGCTAACCCATGTGGATTGTATCTCCCTTCCCTCTGGCTTCTGGTTGGGCTCAGCCAATGGGAGCCATGGGCAGAATTTAGTCCAATATGAAAAACATATATAAAGCTAACCATCTCTCCAGATAAGGAAAAGTCTAACCAAATATCTGAAAGCAACTTCTGAAAGATCATGAAATAAATGATTTTCAGCTTGGAAGGGAACTAAGACATCATCTGAATCGATGGTTTTAAACCTGGCTACACAGAAGAATCACCCGGGGAGTTTGTTAAAAATACAGATTCCTGGGGCACCTGGGTGGCTCAGTCGGTTAAGCATCTGACTTGATTTTGGCTCCGGTCATGATCTCAGGGTCACGAGATCAAGCCTTGAGTCATGCTGAGTGCAGAGCCTGCTGGAGATTCTCTCTCTCTTTCTTAAGAAATTAATTAATTAATTAAACTTAAAAAAATACAGATTCCTCGGTTCCATCCTGACCTGAGTTAAAGTAGCCTTTTCAAGGGTCGGACCAGGAGACCCGGGTTAGTAGTATGCTCCCTAAGTGAGCACCACTGCAACTGAAAAGAACTATGCTTCCAGCCTTGCAGACAAGAGAGAGCCTGCGGAAGGATCTTAAGAAGATCTTACAGCTTTGGACCAGAAACCACATGCCATTTCTACCCACTTTCCATCCACAGGAATTAAACAATGACCCTGCCTGAGTACAACAGGGCCGGAAAAATGTATTTTAGCTGTGTGTTCAGGAAGATGTAGTGGTCTGGTGAGCACACAGCACTATCTTTGCCCCATCCCAGCTCTATTTATTGTGATTATTGACATACTTGAACTTGTTTCTAATATTTTATTTATTTCAATATTTCTGTTTTTTAAGTTTCCTTTCCTTCATCGTCTTTAAAAAGAAGTTACCGATCTTCCCTCTAACCAGGTAAGAACTTTAGCGTGCTTTCAAATTATTCATATACTTCCTCTCTTCTTCACCAAGGTGTTTGATCAACTTTACTTCTCCTCCTTTTTGGCAACTCCTGACATTTTTTTCTCTTATTGGAATACTTCTTCCAAAAATGTGTTGAGTATTTATTTTGTGGCAAATCTTCTGAAGCTTTGTATGTTTGAGAATATTTTTGTTAGAGCGTCACTTTTGAATAATGTTTAGTTATGTATTAATTTCTGTGTTTAGGGGCTCCTGGGTGGCTCAGGGTTAAGTGTCCAATTCTTGCTTTTCAGCTCAGGTCATGATCTCACGGTCCTGGGGCTGAGCCCCGCATCGTGCCCACGATCAGCGCGAAGCCTGCTTGAGATTCTCATTCCCTCCCCCTCTGCTCCTCCCCCTAATCTCCCTCTCTCTCAAATAGATAAATAAAGTCTTTAAAAAATAAATAAATTCTAAGTTTAGAGATTTTATTTTCCTTCCTTCCTTCCTTTCCTCCCACCCTCCCTCCCTCCCTCTTCTTTCTTTCTTTCCTTCTTTCTTTCTTTTCTACAACTAACACACACTGAGTGGTATTTGGGTTTTCTGTGCTTGACGCCTGCTCAATTGCCACTGTTGCCCTTGGTTTGTTTTCTTTCAGGATCAAGGTGGGTGCTTTCATGTAAAATCTGATTTTTAATTCCTTTTCTGGCAATTCTTTCCTGGCATCTTAGCTTTGCATAATTATACCCACAGTGGAACCAGCATCTTCAAGTCACCAAGATAAATCCTCTGGCTCCAATATCACATGATCTCATTCTGCTAGTTAACAAAAAATGTCCAAGGCCAGCCACAACAGAGCCTAATGAACCACACAATATCGAATCCCACGCATAGGGAATGTTTTCAACATCTAAAATTCCTGGGAGTAAAGGGCTAGAATAAAATTAAAAAGAGCCCTGCCCTTGGCGTTCTCGCTGGGCTCAGGTGTGGTGGCCTCGGGCTCCAGGGAGTGCCTGCGGCCTCACCCGACCAAGGATTTTTTCTCTTTAATATTTTCAATATCATCCAAATGTTGCATCCAGTGTTGTAGTTAGAAAATCTGATATCAGTCTCTCTCTCTGGAATCTTAGAATTTTCTCATTGCCTTTGATCTTTGAAATTTGTATCTAAATTTTTATGTAAATTTACATTTAAATTTGTATCTAAATTTACAATTTGTAAATATTGTATCTAAAATGGGTTTTGCCTTCTCTTGCTATAGGACATTATGGATCCCCTGTATATTTTCATTCTGGGAATTCACCTCTTTATTTCTGTAAATCTTTCCTACGCACTGTTTTAATTTTTTTTCTCTTTATGAAATTCCTATTATCCCTATTCGGGCATTTCTCTCCCCAGTCTCTTTTGACTTCTCTATTTCAACTTCTTCCTTCTTATATCTTTTACTCTAGGAGAGTTCTTCAGTGTAGTCCTCCCACTTATTTGTTTTTCTGTTGTGTCTCTCCCATTATTTATTCCCATTAGTGGGATTTTTATTTTGACTTTCATATTTTTTCATGCCTAGAACTTCTATATAGCTTTCTCTGTATTGTAATAGCTTTTCTTATTTTTTAATGCATTTTTCATGCTTATTTTAAGGGGCTATTCTATATTTTCTGATACTTCTTTAAGGACACGTATGGACCTATTTGTTGTTTTTCTTTCAAGGTGTGCAACTCCCCAAAGGGAGGGAGTTATAATTTTGGCCTTTGGGTGCCCATCTACGTCAGTGTAAAGAGAGGGAAGGACCCAAGTTCTAGGACAGCACAAAACCAGTTACCACCGTTTTGGTGTCACCTTACTGGTGACAGCTCAGGTCAGGGCTTTGGGCTACAGAGCCCCGGAAGGGGCCAGGCCTCTCTCTGAGTCAGCCCCAGGGTAGAGGGAATGTGGAAGAGTGAATGACCCCAGCTTCAGGTGCATCTATTGTCCTCTCCCCTCCCCGCTCCAGCAGGGATTTCAACCTAGACTTTCTCCCCAACCCTCTACTGCTCTATGAGCAATCAGGATCTTGCCCCTGTTTTTTGCATTATGGGGCAGGCAATAATTGGTCAAGGGCAACACCAGGGAAAAGCAAGAGCAGACTGCCTTTAATGAATCTTCTCACAGCGAGCAAGCCACGCTAAAACAACTGACAGTCACTAGGGATTCCCCGGAGTTTCCCTCCACGGCTTCTCCAGGGTTGGTTTTTAGAGTTGGGAACCAAGAACACATGTTAATTTATCCTGACAGGAAGCAGGTCTCTCCATTATTTCCCTATAATATTTATGTATGAACTACATTCCCCCCTATATAGAAATACCAAAGGGTCGTGCTTCATTGACTCTTTGTTATATAATCCCATCTCTCCTCCGGATGCTAGCACAGTATTAAATAAACACTTTTCAAATAAATAGATGATAACAAATAAAAATCAATGAAGTGGGGGCGCCTGAGCGGCGCAGTCAGTCAAGCCTCCGACTCTTGGTTTCCGCTCAGGTCTGATCTCAGGGTGGTGAGATAGAGCCCCGCTCTATCAGCACTGAGTTTGCTTGGGACTCTCTCCCTCCCCCACCCCTCACCACTCCCCCTGCCCCTCCCCCGCCCCTCCCAAGTGTGCCTTTGAGCGCTCTCTCCCTCTTTCTCTCTCTCAAATAAGTCTTAAAAAAAAAAAAATCAATGAAGTGAATACCAGTGGTTCTAGGGAGAGACGTTCCAGTCCTGGAAACAAATACTGAAAATAAGTACAGGCTCAACAGATTGTTGAGTAAAGTGTCTGCTCTTTGAATATGACATAAATTCAGTTACTCTAAATTGTCTAAAACACTGACTTTGAGATAAACGTAGTTGTATCCACCATGTTCTCTGGAGCATAATAATAAGTTGAGGTAGGTGTTAGGAGATATTATTCATTCAACACATATTTATGAAACACCTACTATGTTCTGGGGACACAGAAAAGAACAGGACACGGCCCCTTCCTCCTAGGACCGGGCCATCCAATACAGTCACCACCTGCCGCAGGTGGCCATTGACCACTTGTAATATGGCCAGTCCTGAGATATACTATAAGTAGAAAACCACTAGATTTTGGGCGCCTGGGTGGCTCAGTCGGTTAAGCGACTGCCTTCGGCTCAGGTCATGATCCTGGAGTCCCGGGATCGAGTCCCGCATCGGGCTCC